CCTCCCTACCCTACCCTCTCTCTCTCTCTCTCTCTCTTTCTCTCTCTCTTTCTCTCCCTCCAAACCCCAACCCCCCCTCTAAAAAAAACCCCCAACAAAACCACTCACGTGGGCAGCAGAGAAAAGTTGACCACAGAAGCCTCCAACAACTCCTGTAGTTCTATCAGGTCCTGTGCCTCGTTCTCCAACACCTGCAGCCTCTTGCTGAAGCCCTCGATGATGCTGTAGGCATCACTGATGCTGCACTCACGCTGGTACACATCAGAATTGTCAAGGTCGTCTGACAGCGACATCACGCGAACGGCAAATGCTTCAAGATCCTGGTGAGAAAAACATACACGTCTTAAACATTTCAAATTTAAACACACAAGTTTTACAACTTAAACCTTTAACATTTACTTAAAAGAGGATATTTTAGAGTTAATGTGAATTACTGTGTTGAAATCAGACGCTCGTCACAATAATGAAATTGAAGAAACAGACAATTTCCCCAGCTGTGCAATTTTCATCGAATTGTTTGTTTCCAGCTCAATACCTTTTATATCCATTTCAAAAACATTTCTGAGTATATTTCACTGAAAACGTTAATGAAAAACATTAAAAATGTAAATTTGCAGCTTCTAAGGACACTCAAGCTTTAGAAGTAACCAAACTTTGGCGGGCCATATTCTCGTTAAATTCACCTCCAACACCCGACAACCCCCCCCCCCCACCTCTTTCAATTTCATATATATCTCGACTTCTTTTAAAGGTAGATGAGGATTTCAAAAAATCAAAAGCAAGATAAATGAACAAGCTTTATGATTATACCAATAACTTCAAATGACCCAAAATTGATGAGCGCATTCTTCCACTGTGTTGTGACATATCTGCAACATGAGCAGTTTCTTATTTTTATTAAAGGAAAATAATATTTTACGACTTTGTTTAAATCTCACTTGATAGCACCTTTTTTTCTTTTCTTGTCTGTACAAACGTAAATGAAAACGCTTCAATACTGAAAAGGTTAAAAGTATAACAATTCTTTTTTAATGGACAGAAGAAAACAGCAGTTCTCATTTCTGTACTTGGTCTGACCTGCGTGATGCTCGCACTCTCCTCCTGAATCCTTGGTCCCAGCCGCTGTTTGGCCAGAGAGACTTTGGTCTTGAGGTTATTCCATCGCCCGGGCGCTGCATTGAACAGGAACTGTGTCTTCTCCGCCAGGATCTGGCCGTACTTTTTGAGTAGGAGCACCGTGCGATGCATGGCCGCAAACTTGCCGTCCATCTCACTCTGCTGGGCTGACACCTGGAAAGACAGTTATTGTAAGTCTGTTAGTTTGTTTGTTACCTGGATACATTCTATCTAGGGTTGGGGAAGGGGGGGGGTGGGGGTAGGAGAAACATTTCTAATCATTTGAGTCTAAAAAGAAGAAAAAAACATATTTAAAAAAATAGAAAATAAAAAATATTTTAGAAGGTTTACGTAAAAGTGCACATTAATGTATAGTCTCATCATCTTTAAAGCTGGCCATGTCTCTCTCCTCTCCACCTATGATTCATGCAATACTCTCTATTCCATCTCCTGGAAAGGATCATTTCAACCATCCAAAGTCCAACAACAACAAAATAAAATGTACAAAACAAATATAATACAAAAAATCAAAACAGTACCAACGAAAAAATACTATTTTGCTCTTGATCTTAATACATATTATTATTTCTTTTTCAACATTGACCCTGATAATTGGCCCGCAGCTTGAAAAAAAAAAATTAATTAATCACAAAATTATTATTAGCCTGTTTTGCCTTTCCCTTTGTTTTACAAGCATACAACTGTGGGTGGTTGGAGGGCATCACTGATAGGTCCTACTTCTTTACTTTCCCTTTGTTGATTCTGTCTATCTGTCAGTCCTACTTTTCCCCTGCACCAAATGACCATTATTGTGTCAATGTACATCTCTTTACTCAAACAAACGGTTCTGTGCAGCTGAGAGAAATTTCCCTCTGGGATAATAATGTATTAACCTACCTTACCTTACCTTACCTTACCTTACCTTACCTTACCTTACCTTACCTTACCTTA